AGCATCGGGATACCATCATCGGCACCCCACCATCTATGTCACCATGTTAAGTCAATGCACCCTTCCTGAAATCCTCATATTCTCAGAGGAACTCAACTTGATGGAATCTCAACAAGTACATTCATTTTGAAGAAGTTCTAAAATCTTATGTTTAAGAACCCCCATTCTTACTATTGAAATGGATTCTATCAATACTATCCAACATTAATCTACTGGTTGAGACTCGATCGAGTTGAATTCTTTTGAGAAAATGAGGAGTTCAGCATGGGTGCATTGATTCATCATGGGGAGAAACACACTTTGACTATACTTAGTCTAATGACTTAGCATCGGGATACCATCATCGGCACCCCATCATCTATGTCACCATGTTAAGTCAATGTATCCTTCCTGAAATCCTCATATTCTCAGAGGAACTCAACTTGATGGAATCTCAACAAGTACATTCATTTTGGATAAGATTGCTAGAATCCATTTTCAATAGTAAGAACATGGGTTCTCCAACAGGACATTAAACTTAACTCAGACCTTTTTTAAATTTTTGGTTAGTACTATTATACAGTGAGAAAAGATTGCTAGAATCCATTTTCAATAGTAAGAACATGGGTTCTTCAACAGGACATTAAACTTAACTCAAGACCTTTTTAAAATTGTTGATTAGTACTATTATACATACATGTCCATCACATTGGATCGCTTCTAGATTATGTTCCATCATATCGCATGCACAATTAACATAGCGTAACCAGTTCGAGCAATCGGGATTCCAAGCGTCAATGATGTATATGAGTTTGCTTCGTTTCATAACCTAGATGAAATAAACAAAATGGTATTTCCATACATCTTAACACATTTTAATTTTCGTTCATTGTATTGTATCGTATTGTATTGTATTGCATAATATCCTTTATCACCACAAATATATTGTGATGCAATTACAATTTTTATTTTGCATTAACACATTACGCTTTGAATACGTTAATCAACCGATTCAACCTTGGCTTCTTTCTTTTTAATCAATTCCGCCTCTTTTGCCGAAACGGTTGATTCTCAAAAACGAAAAAGTGATTATATTGAACTAGTTAATATATCATTGAATGTTTAATCTCATTGAATTTCAAACAAGTGTGCTAGATAAGAATTGGGTTATTTGGCCCATTTTTGCTGGGACAAAATGGTAAAAGTTACCCTGCGTTGTTACTACACATTTAGTCTAATTGCACGGTAGTACTCACGGCAAAAGCATTATCGCATTGTAAATGAACATCCTTGATACTCTGAACAGTATCGCCTTGATATGGCCCAAAGAAAGTACCCACTTGGATGTCCATCTCTGCGAATACACCTAGCCCTGCCCCTGGTATTTTAGATGTAGATATCCTAAGCCCTTGCGAGAGGGTTTTCTTTGCTCGGTTGGCCGTATACCACATGACTTTCTGATCTTGAATAACGTAATCGTCTTCTGTTGGACATAGACGTTCATTCATATATGCTGTGCTCCAATCAGTTTTACCTGTAATATATGCTATACGAGTATATTATGTGTACACTTCCTATATAAGGCTCAAGCTTTTCTATCCTCTGAAATATGCAGGCCAGGAGCCATTGAGAATTGGCAGCCATTATTCAAACTCGATACTCCATTGCCTGCAGCGGAACAATTTGGTAAAAACATTTCTATAAGGTTCTCTTTGGACCAAGTATTTTGTTGAAAGATGATCATTGCGAATACTATGGTAGTATTCAAGCTTCTTAATGTATTTTAGAAAAAATAATAAGATTTAAACATAAACAGAATTTAATTGGCCATGTCCAGTTGGGACTTGCGCTTGTCAAACTCCTTGAGCAGGGAGTGTAAAACTGCTCTCTTTCATCTCTGTATTGCGCAAACAGAATACACATTAATTTATGACTAAAATGCAATTGTCAAACCTGCTTCACAAGATATCCAACTCCACACTAGCAGGGACATCTGAATCTTCACCTAGTGTTAAACTGTAGTTAGTGATGAATTCTACATAGTATGTAAACATTTTGAATAACATCGTTGAGCAGCTCCTTACAATTCAATTAACCAACTACATAGTTTTACGCTTTTAAATTATGTCGAAACTCTTCTCTTCAATGTGGCGTATCTTGTCAAAGATTTTTGAACTCAAGCACAGAAACAGACACTCGAATTATCCGAACAGAAAATCCAACACCCCCCGCTCCCCTCCCCTAAACTGTGTTTACTAAGATAAAATCGTTTAATCGTTTTTTCTTTGGTTCAGAGAGGGTGTTGGATTTCATTTTCGGACAATTCTGTTCCAGTTCCTGTGAGTTGTGAAATGTCTCGAGAAAAAAATTTCCAGGGTTTAATATGTATGTAAATAATGATCTTGGTGACATTAAACGATTTGGGCAGACTTACATAAACCCGTTGTCGTAAAACGTCATTAAGCCAAACTGGTACCATTGTCGCAAAATCTCCATACATGTATTCCATACCATTAAAAGAGAGAACCTACCTTAAAGGGACAAAGTGCGTAAATGAAGTCTCACTGATGATCTTCATAGTATTTCCAATGAATTAATAAGTACCCGATCTTTTATTTGACACCAAAAAAAGCTCAAACAGACCACATCAGAGTTGACACTAGATTATGAAAAAATATTTTTGATCTATCAATTTATATATGTCAAGTTTTTAGCAATGCCATAGAAAGATGGCATTGGTGTTTGCAGTTATCATCCATTCGCCATCTTTTAATCCAAGAGTTATTTACAACATACACTTTGTGAAAAGTGGTAATTCACTTTTTTCAATCTCTGAACTTCAAATGCTGTTTTCTTTGCGAGTAATTTTTTTCACTTCAGAATTATCCCAAATTAAAGTTTTTATCATATTTGATTGATTGTGTGAGTGACATGTCTCAACTAATATTTTATCCTTTTTCCTTCAAAAATAGGCGCATTGCCAGTTTAACATATAATATGTTTATACCACGTTGCATGAAATGCATGTATTACTAAAATCAAAATCGATATTTATGAAAAAATATATATTTCAGTCACTGCCGCTTTTATGAACTAAATTCATGAAGACCATAATTTATAGTATTGTACTGTATACACGATTAATGGCTAAGTCAGCAATATAATGTACATGAATAAAGTCGATATTTTATTTGTCGTCTGCAGCAAATGAATATGGAAGTGGATATGCATCAGATACATTAATGTATCAAAAAGTGGTTTAGGTCTAAGAATTTTCGTATGGTGGAGGGAGAGTATATTATTCTATTGCAAACTCGCAAAGTTCGTCACTATACGTTTTTATAATGTTGCCCATTCCTAATGATTCACTTTTCGATTCATCATAACTTTCTTTCAAAAAAGTGATGGTAACTTATACGTGGGTTGATCCAAAAGTTCCGAACCGTTTGCTCTAAGAATCTTAATATTATATGAATATTGTTCATATTTAGCCACAACCACCCCATATATATTAGTTTCATATTGTGTAAAAATAAGCAGTAAATTTGACCAGCAACATAGTTGTCTGGTTACCATAGCAACATGACAACTAACAGGGAAGGAGGAGCAAGAGTATGACACAGTTATCCTGGATCACTCTGTGGCAACTGGAGTCACCGTCAATGGAGGTTATTATTCAAAGGTCAGTTACAAAACCTTATCACTCATTTATAAAGTTGTAAACTAGATTTTACTTTTATGAGGTATGCTGATCTATTTTGAGTCAATCAATTAGGTATAACACTTACTCAGTTTAAAAATGTGTACCAGGTGCTGAAAAAAGATCTTAAAGATGCTATGAGAAAAAAACGACCAGATCTCCTTGGGAATTTTTACTTTAACCATGATAATGCCCCAGTCTACAGAGCCAATGTTACAAAAGAGGCAATACACGAGTGCTTGCAGGCCCAACTACAGCCCCATCTGCCATAGTCTTCTGATATGGTACCATGTGACTTTCATATTTTTCCTGAGGCCAAGAAACCACCGCGTGGTATCCATTTCGATGACGAAGCTGACATTTCCAGGCATTTACTAATAGCGTTTATGCTACAGCTAAAGGTGGACTTAACCATGTATTTCAGGACTGGTTGAAACACTATAAGAAATGTGTCGTACATGGTGGTGAAGCTAAGGCGAATGAACTTATAAACTATAATTACCTATTGTATGAGATTTTATGGTGATGAAACTCCACGAATTGAAATGATCTGAAATAGCTCGTCAATTGCTGAAATTCGGAATAAAGTTTAATTTACTCCAGCTCCAGAGGCATGCCATCTAGTATAGACGCTGCTTTTGTATGGAGTGGGAACGGAAGAACAGGGTAAACGGGCGAACGTATTTCTTCAAAGATGGCAATTATTACCGTTACAATGACAGTCAATTTAGAGTCGACTCGAGTTCGTCAGCCCCGTACCCGCGCTCAACGGCCGAGTGGTGGTACGGTTGTCCGAAAACATCTGGCTCTATTCAGTTTGCTGGGCTTACACATCATACCGCAATGTCAGATACAAAACAAAAAGTAATTGATGAAGATGGTCTAGTCGAAAGGCCCATGGGGGCAGAACCTTTAGAATCTCAGGACAAAGAACATGAAAATTTAGAAACTGAAAAGGGTTTGAGTAAAACAAACGGAAGTGGTGCCACGCATGCACATTTTTTACCTCTGATAGCTGGACTATCTTTCCTATTAGTGTTGAAGTTTTAAATATAATATATATATATATTTTATATATATAATATATAATATAAATTGTGTCGGATACTCTGTATTTTTAATTTTTTAGACTGTTGTTGTGTGTTTGATGATGCTGCAATTATATGTATTTCAGTGTCTGTCTATTATTTTACACCCGAATCTGTAAAAACTATTTACATGTACTGTACAGATGATTGAATATTACACTATTAAGTTGACAAAGCTTTACATTCCAAACACTGTTGCCAATTTCAGGGTCTTCAATTAATTCATATTCTAGTCATATAAGAAGCAACAGCCTACCATACATGCCCACCACTTTTCTTTATAGACATTCTGTTTTCTCATGTAAGTTTTTCCAAATGGGACTCATTCGAAATATGAGGCACAAAAATCGACAAATGGTAGCTATGTTATTTTACCTACTACAGTATCAATTGCAACATATTGTATACTTAGGCATACTTTTAAATAAAATATGTTATCGATGATGGATATGCATTCTGTTTTTCTTATTTTCATTGAAATTTGGGGTTCTAAAATAGTCTCTGTTCAACAAATACCATAGATCATTGATATGTCGATTGCCTCTACCTATAGTCCTTCGCATTTTTACTCAAAGCAGGCGAAATCAAGTCCCTGTATGCTGGACAAGTACAATTAAAACATGTTTAAGCCTCGACTCCAATAAAACAAATCATCTACATCCTTTTAATTCATAAATAAATGATATATAACTTGACTTACATACTTACGAATTCAACTATCAGCTGTCGGCTACTGTTTCATGGGTAGCCCATTTAAACATGAATAGCATCTGTTACGATTCCATTCATATTTAAATGAGTTGGTCATATACTTGGGTGCATCAAAAAGTTTTGCAATTTTGACTCTATCGTAATAACTATATTGAGTTATGTCATAATATTCGGCACATACAATGATCATACATTTGTGGACATACCTGCAAAATTTATAGACTGGATCTTCATTTTTCAAGAAAATATGGTTGTCATAGTAATATAAGAAGCGACCTCATGGTTCAATGCAAGTTTATTATTACGCAATAAACAGAATAAATGACATCAATTTGCCAACACCTTGTTTAGTCTCATATTAACAATTTTCTGCATATTAAAACATTGTTCTCAAATTCCTATTATCAATTTTCTGCAAACATTGTTCTCAAATTATTCAAAATAATTGCTCCAAGCTGCCAAACATTGTTGATGTCTGTGGACCCAGTCTCTGAAGACAGCCTGAAATCCCCTGCTGATAAAACAGTCAATCGCTTCCTCACGGCTGAGGCAAGTTCCTATTGGGTTTCAAAGCACATGCCCCTCAATCCCCTCTTCATATGACTGAACAAGAAGAAGTCGCATGGTAATGTGTCTGGGAGTAAGCTGCCTGTTGTTACACGCTCCCAATCCAGGTCCTCTTGAGCATCAATTGCCACCCTACTTGTATGGGGCCATGCGTTGTCCATATGGAAGTGGGGTTTGTAGCAGAAAGAGAAAATTTACTTGAAACAAAATGGCTGCCAGAATTCACAGGTTTTCCCCACAATTTACATCACAATGTAAATCCATATGTCATAATAGCCTTGTGTGATGTCATCAGAACAATAAGAAATAGAAAGGGGGAATGAAAAGACACACAAACCTGTAATTTTGGTGACTGAATCATAATAATAACAGAATATAATAGAATTTAAAATTAACATATTCTAGGTGGAACCGAGTACCCTCGGGTCCCGTTACCATAGCAACCATATCTTTTTACCCAATCACAGATGAGCAACCAAATCGTTACACACTATGTATAAATATATGATCTATAATTGTGCTAAATTTCAAAACAAAGCTAAATGTATAACTTGAGATAGTGTCAAAATTGCAAAACTTTTTGATGCACCCAAGTAGTAAGATAATGCGATAGTCGATAGCCGAAAGTTGCATTCTCAAATATAAGCTTAGATATACTCAACCTTCTTTGAAAACATTTAGGCTAAGAAAACATCCTTCACCTAATAAACAATACGTCGCCAAGTCCAACACTCGAAACGCTATTATACCTTTTCCATTTTAAAAGAAAATGGATTCGATGGAGATTCGATGGAGATTTCGATGAAAATAGAGTGTTAATGTCCTACTTTCATTATTAAAAAATTATTATTTCAAAAAGTATCTCATAACAGGTTAGAAATTGAAATACTGGTAGATCACTATTTTTAATTCTTTAATTTCGGTTGATGGAGATTTCCACAGATGAAATCTGACCATATGGCTTGATGCACTGTCCCGTTAAACCATTTACAGTAGTTGTGAATAGGTATGTCTAGTTTCTCGAGATAGTCGTGTCCATAGAAAACCAGTAACTCTTGGCCAGGATATATAGCTTGAATGCTTCTATAGTATATCTGAATTATAAAAAAATGATTTTTAAGCTAATCAATCAGTTTCATTCAAATAAGCCATCGCATTTTTGCCTTAACATCGTAAACCCCACGTACTAACGTCAACTTGCGTGTACTGGCGTATAGGACTTGAGTAAAATGCGTCCCCATAGGATTTTATTTGTACTGGTGCCCTTTTAGTGCCAAGCATACATTTTCAATAACAGTAAAAATAGCAATAAAGTAAAGAAAATAGGATTACATTCTTCAAATGACATATAAATGTTACTTTGATATTAGAATCCCGTCTCTACCAATCAATATCACGTCAGCAGATTCTTTAAATATATATTTCCCTTATTTTTCAATAGAAAAATTGTCTTTTGATTGTCATCATGCTTTTAAAATTACAACACTGGCTTTCACGTTTTTGATAGTCATAATTGTATGTTGAATATTGTATACCCTAGCATTCGTTCGACTTCACTTCTTAAAAGAGAGCTTCGTCTTCACTTTTTCAGTTTATAATTAATCACTGATCTCACCGAGCCAATCAGAGTTCGTCGTCGAAATACAGACGACTTTCTATGGTCATTTCCTCTGACATTCTCACATACAGGGTGTCCGGAAAGTAAAGATGCAAATGCTCTAATTTCAATAGATTTACTTGTTTAGAGAAAATTGCAACAGATTATAGAATGACAGGATAACAATTTATCCTGCAGTTGTATATGACAAATTATTTCAAAATGAAAAAGTTATGGTTGTTATGGTAACGGTAGTCCCAGGTATGTGGAGCAGTGTCACAATTATGCTTTATGATTCTTTTCTCCTGCTCATATCATCTTGACACTCCATTATCTGTTGCTATTATACATCAAATTATGTACTATAACAGCAAAAGAAGTAGTACTGTAACATCATTTGGTCATTTGACATTACTACTGTTATCCAGTATTATGTATTTCTAAGATTGTCTAAACATTTGTGGTGCATCTTGACCAGAGATTCAAAGACCTGAAAAAACCGCTGCTGTCCATCTCGCAGATTACTGATAAAATTGGCTTCAAGCAGAGTCTCATTTTCATGTTGACCTTCTAATAAATATTGCTTTAAAATATTCATTAATGTAGAAGTTCAACGGGGCAATATCACGGTAATATGGGCCATTGTACAAAAAAAGTTTAATGTCAAGACATTCAATTGTAAATTTTGTTTTGTGAATTGGTGCATTGTTGAGTATGCGCTATTGACTTTTCTATTAATCCAGGGACTTTTTCTAAGCACTTATATGATTTTTCTTTGATTACACTATTTAGTGACATTACATAGTTATAATCTGTATCAATGATATCATTATACTAAAGAGAATATTATTGCAGCTTGAATGCAGTATTGAACAAAACAAAATATTGATAGGAAATACAATAATTAACACCATTTCAAATGGTTAAATTCTAGCATTTAATGACAATTTAGCAATATCATGGAACTGCTCCGCATACCCCTGGCCACCGTAACCATGACAACAGTAACTTTCACACGTTTAGACTTTATGTTCTAAAAGTTGGTAGATGTATTGTTATATAGTTCCTCTACAATCCGTAGCAATTTCATTACAAAAAAAACAAATCACTTAAAATAAGAGTGTCTGCATCTTTACTTTCCGGACACCCTGTAGTTAATGAGCACGTATTTAGCACGTGTTCCCTTCCAATTCGCTGATTGGATGAGAAAGGGTCAGCGTGGTAAATTTGAAATGATTTATTACCCGGTTGTCACAGGCACCAATCTTTGGAACGGGGGTGCTAAACTGTAATATACTCTATACTAAGCAGAGGGTAGTTTATAAATAGACTTTGCTCGCAGATGACAATTCATAAAACTGTTTTTAAAAGGATGAGAGTAAAGAATAAAGAAAAAGAAAAGAAAGGAAGAAATATATATAAACACGATAGCTAAATGTTCTAAAGTACAATTAAATACCTGTCCAAGTAATATTCTTTCAAATTTGATTTGAATTTTTCTTTGAAAGGGTTCTTAAATTTTCAAGTAAATCATTCCATGTTGTCTGTTCTGTGTGTTTAATGCTCCTTTGTCCAATAGTAGATTTAAATTGATTAGTTCTGAGATCGAATCTATAACGTGTCCCCTGTCCATATAATATATACTGGAAATGTATTTTACTCAAGTCCTATTCCCAGTAGACGCAAGTTGACATCGAGTTGACACTTACATGTGAGGAGAATGCGATTTAACGGGAAATGCGATTAATGGTATGGCTAAATCGAGTATTACATTTTTGTAACTTTGTACCTCGTAATGGTATACAAACGTACATTTCCGCCATATGGGATAGATTCTAGGTTCTGTTCCATCAAATCGCGTGCACAATTAACATAGCGTAACCAGTTTGAGGAGTCGGGATTCCATGCGTCAACAAAGTACTTACTACCATTCCGGTATACCTGTTAAAAATTAACGAAATTGTTTTTTTCATGTAGTTCACCTAGACTTTCGTTTAATCCACCTTCTTGATTACTTGTATTTTATATGAGAAACTCATCTTATGTCCCTTGGTACTTACGATAAAAGTATAATCGCCAGACAAACGAACATCCTCGATGCTCGGAACAGTATCGCCTTGATATGGCCCAAAGAAAGTACCTACTGGAATGACTTTCTCTGAGAATACACCTAGCCCTGCCCCTGGTATTTTAGATGTAGATATCCTAAACCCTTGCGGAATGGTTTTCTTTGCTCGGTTTGCCGTATACCACATGACTTTCCGATCTCGGATTACATAATCGTCTTCTGTTGGACATAAAGTATTCCTACACAAAGCATTACTCCAACCAAGTATGCCTGTAATTATACTCTACGTTGATTGCAGGAACGGTGAACCCTGAGCCTGAGAAGCTCAACTCCTAAATAAGTTTAAAACCGGAATTTCAAATTGGACGTGGATTTTTATCCCAACGAGCGAAGATCGGTAGGGATAGTGAAGCCGTTCACCCATCAGTCAGTCAGTCTGTCGGTCCATCAATCTGTCCGTCCGTCCGAAAGATGACTCGAATACTACATTAGTTGACAAATTTGCTTCATATTTGGTGGGAATATGTATATTGGTCAAAAGTGTTACCCCAGAAAATGATAACCATCCCTCTAGAAATGGCGCGAATATTTTGCGAAATTCATTTTGATAGTACATTCAAAACATCTATCAATTTCGCATATCTTCCGTGATTTTCAGCCTGACACCTTGGGGCCGTGAATGGGGGATCGGGAAAACAGGTGTTTTTGTTAATTTTGAGATCTTTCTTGAAGTATAACTTTATAATACTCAAATGAAAGGCAATTTAGAGAAGATTGCAAATATTGTATCGTTTTTCTAATTCAGGCCCGTAAAATTTAAAATGGCCGCTTAATGTGGGATTTCGCAAACACTTTCTGATCTCTTCAAAGTATGGCTATATTATATTCAAAGGACCTCGAGTTGTTATTAGAATGAATCGAATAAGTTTTTTGTGCATTTTGCTTATATTTTTTTCATCTAAAAAACAACAATACACTGCAAAACATTTTATTGATTATTAGATTGCTCCGTATAATCCCCCAAAAAGTTCTCATTTTCAAGGATTATCTACCCAGATTTTTTAGTTCAGAGGGCTGAGAATTATTGTGCTCGACGCTTTTGAATAATTGAAATGCTGTTTTAAATAGGTTTCATGTATGCCAATAATTTCTCAAATTATGTAAACTGCACCAATTCTTTAATCCCTGTAATATTATCTAGGAGGAATTTCCCTTGTTAATCCGATGGTGGGGTTTCAAGCAGATTTTGAGATAACAGGGGGGTTAATCTTTAATATACACCTTATTGGTTTGCTTTCATGTATATCGCAACCCAATAAGGTGTATATTAAAGATTAACCTTCCTGTTGTACCATGTACAATACTCTATCATACAGGGTGGTCAAAAAAATGGAAACCCTGTCGCCATTTTCCTCATATCTTTGTCATTTGAAGAAATTACGCTCTGATATTAATCAAATATGTACATCATTCAATTTCCTACCGGCCTACCATATTTCATGACGATCAAATTGATAGTCACAATGTTACAGCACTTTAAACAACATGCTCCAGTGGCCAATATTGCACTTTCGGCAAACCTGCACCTATCATCCAAAATGTCCCTACTTAACTTCAACCTGTGGTGATACACCAAAAAAGATTGTACGAGAATAACCCCAGGACAACTGCAGACCTCAAAAAGCAAATCATCCATGTCATTCAGGCCATACCTGCTGAAAAATGTAGTCAGATCATTGACAACCCATTCAGATTTGCCAATAGCGCGATGGTGGCCACACTGGGGCATCTTGTTCAAAGTGCTGTACCATTGTGACTATCAATCTGATGGTCATGAAATATGGTTAGCTGGTAAGAAATTGAATGTTGTACATATGTGTCAAATTTCAGGGAATAATAACCCAAAATGACAAAGATATGAGGAAAATACAGGGTTTCCATTTTTTGACCACCCTGTACTACAAAGGAATTGTCAAACTCACAAGATATCGAACACCATATCAGCATTAGCAGCCGTCCCTGCACCTACGTGTTTAATAACTGTAGTTAGTGTTTGATCATGCATATCGGAAAACTTATTTAATTCAGAAGTGGTTTATTTTGCGTACAGATTCATCTATAATAGGGAGGTTAAATTACACGTTTTTAAACAAGTAAATCCATTCTGACACCTGTGAAAGAAAAAAGAAAAAGTAGAACCGTAAACGGGTATTACATGTGTCAAGACCCCTACAAAACTTCGAGTTTTTCACATGATGAAAATGAAAAAGAGCTAAAAGGTGTACAAGAAATGGATCCCTTTAAGATACCCCGGGTAAAATATTACACGCTCGCATACAGGTTCTCTTAAAACGTGTTACTTAACCTCACTAAAAATACGGTTTCAGTTTCTTGGACAGCTCCTTGGAAGTCAAAATAACAATCAAGACAACATTATAAAATCTCGCTGTGTATCAAGGAATGAATGGAGTGGATTTTCTTCCTTGACAAATGTTCTATATGTGATCGTAAAATGTATGATGGTTTTAGGCAAACAAATATTGTAAATATGTATGGTTAGCTTACCCGCAAATAAATATGTATGTAACAACGCCTATTACAACACTTCACGTTTCCACTTTTTATGACACATGAACATTTTAAAAAAGTGCAAACTTACATGAATTCGTTGTTTTAAAACCTCATAAATCGAAATCATTGTCGCCATATCTTCCTTCGGGTTTTTCAAGCCAACTACCAAGGACCGTTCTATGTAATAAGTGCATTATATTTTCAATGGCATGCATTTATTACTTCAGTCGAGTCACAATCGATATTTGTAAAAATATATGTATAAATATATATTTTAAATATATTTCACAATCAGTGCCGCTTTTGTGAAGTAAATTTATGAAGGTTGTTCATATAAAATGTTGCATAGTTCTATGTGAAAGATTAATAGCCAATTATCGATACCAATGAGTATATACTGTTGGAAGTTGATGATGTATCATGTTGTATTTTCACCTGCGATAAAATGTAGAACGTTGTAGAATGGTTATGTTATACAAAGTGTCCATAATCCATAAAGTCTCCTTACACTACATTCTACATATGCTTTGTATTGTCATTGTACAGAGACTTCATGAACACCTTGTATGGTAATATCATACATCGAGGTCAATCTATCAAATCTATTTGTTGTTTAGCATAATTAGAGATATAGGATCTTTATTTCTGAAAATCAGATTACTGATATGTGAGGTATCATACCCTTTGTCATTCTCCTTCAGTTAAAATATAACTCATTCCCGTGCATCATACCCCCCCCCCCCTTAAAAATCTAAACACAAAAGCATTACACTATTAGAGTTTTGAATTAGAAATTCAGAAAAATGAAAATGCAACATTTTAGAACTTGATTTCTCGATACCACATTGGGCACCATCTATCTTTTTCCTGTGATATAAACTGAAGCCATAGTCAAAGTATTTTTCTTCATGAAACTCTCACAACATATTAACATAAGTATTAACAAAGTTATGTTTACTAAGGTAACCAGTATCATGGATATGCGGGGCAAATTTCTGACGTCACTTTTGACGACATTTGAGTGTTGAAAGCAGTATCATTTAATGCCGTTTAACTCTTGGGACATGCAGTGCAGTTATAAATAATCCATGCCAGAGTCACTTCATGATCCATATTAACTTCATGAGGTGCTCAAAATAGGCAGGTACCCTGAGCGTCAATTCACAGTTGCAGTCTGGCGACCCACTCATGGTACACATTTTTGAAGCTACCCTTAAAGTGTGTGGCTAGGGAGGTGTTCACTGCAGATATCAGCTGATTGAGATTCTGGTGCAATATTCCTCTCGGATCCCTTTTCACTGATGCGAATGCAACAAAATCAAGTGGGGCCTTATCTGGGAAATTTGCTGCGTGGGGCAATGATTCCATGCCAAGCTCTGTTAATGTATTTAGGAGAATAGAGGATCTGTGAGCAGGGGCGTTATCCTGGTGGACCGTATAGGTCGATATTGCTCTTTGAGGACGCTGAAGTGTGTGGCTAGGGATGTGCAGTGTTCACTACAGATATCCGCTGGTTGAGATTCTAGTGCGATATTCCTCTCAGATCTCTTTTCGACGCTGTTAGATAATACATATAATTCAAACTGACAGCATCAAGATTTGACCATATCAACAGTTTTTATTCATCAAAGTGTTTGTTTGATGTGTAACAATAATTCATCATGTAAACCCTTAAGGCTTAAGGTTGCCCCGCGTATCTGTGACAATGGTTACCCTAGTAACAATAATTTTGTCAATACTAAGTTGGTTGTCCAGAATAAGGTCAGATATGTGTTGCTTATGTCGTAAAAGTTTCATGAAGAAATATGCAAGATAACGAAAGTTATAACAAAATTAGCAATACTTATTGAACGCCCTGTACATGCAAAGAACATTCAAAGGTACCTTTGACATACCAATGCTATATTTCTCATTGATTGTCTTTGTATATTCATATGGTTGGGTTGTAAATACATGTATTTTACTTGTAATATTTGAGTAAACCTGTGACAAAGAAATAAACTATTATTAAACTATTAAAAAATTAGAATCATAACAATCGAAAACTGGAATTGTCCTCCAAAAGGAGAAAAAAGTCCCTTAACAACAGAAGTTGGCCATCATTTTTGAAAACCTGTAATCCTACTGAAAATAAATTATGAGTTAAACAAAAGACTTTGTTCGTTGGGAATGCTTGGAAGATTATCCTGTGAAAATTTCATGAAAAATTATTGAGCATTGAAATAGGTACATGTAGGTGTAGATAAAGAATGAAACTGAAAATACAAATCCGTCATGTCTAATGGAATTATTATTTAAAAAATGGTTCGATACATGTTTCAAATTGAAGTAGATCACTACTTTCAATGTCTTAACTTTGGTTGATACAGATCTCTACAGTTTCTATCAGACCCTATGGCGTGGTGCATTGTTCCGTTGTACCATTTACAGTAGTTGGAGATAGATATACCCAGTGACTCAACGTAAAGTGAACCGTAGAAAACCAGTAGCTCCTGACCAGGATATATAGGTTGGATAGTTCTGTAGTTTACCTGAATTATGAAAAAAGTAGATTTTATAAAAACAACTTACTATTACTTTCAAGTTTTGTTTTGCACTCGTATTGGATAAGAATATATTCATTATTTCATTATTCGTGATCATATTATGCAAGGAACTGGTATCATTTGGAGGCAATGGACGAGGAAATACAACACGTGTAATATTGAACAAATATTTCACTCTATTGAGGTGAATACCTGTACATCTTTCACAAGTGAGATTCCACGAAGCCCGAAGGGCTCTAAAAAGCAAGCCCAATGTTCTGTTTAAGAACCATTTCAACAGTGAGAATAAGTGTTCTTCAACAGGACATTATTACTTAACCCAGGCCTTTTTGGATTTTTTTGGTTAGTACTATTATACATACATGTCCATCACATTGGATCGCTTCTAGATTCTGTTCCATCATATCGCGTGCACAATTAACATAGCGTAACCAGTTCGAGCAGTCGGGATTCCAAGCGTCAATGATGTAAATGATTTTGCCTCGTTTCATAACCTAGATGTACCAAACAAAATGGTATTTTCACACATCTTAATAACACATAACACATCTTAATTTTCGTTTATTGTATTGCATTGTATTGTATTGCATTATATCCTTTATCACCACAAATATATTGTGAGTCAATTACAATTTTTATTTGCATAACACAAATACGCTTTGAATACGTTAATCAGCCGATTCAACCTTGGTTTCTTTCTTTTAAATCAATTCCGCCTCTTTAATTCCATTGAATTTCAAACAAGTGTGCCAGATAAGAATTGGGTTATTTGGCCCATTTTTTCGCGGAGAGAAAATGGTAAAAGTAACCTTGGGTTGTTATGCCTTGGTCACATTTGCTCCAATTTTTACTACGGCGCCCGGCCGATGGATCGGAGCAAATGTGACCCAGGCATTACTTCACATTATGCAATGTACTCACGGCAAAAGCATAATCGCCTTGTAAATGAACATCCTTGATACTCTGAACAGTATCGCCTTGATATGGCCCAAAGAAAGTACCCACTGGGATGAACATCTCTGAGAATACACCTAGCCCTGCCCCTGGTATTTTAGATGTAGATATCCTAAACACTTGCGGGAGGGTTTTCTTTGCTCGGTTTGCCGAATACCACATGACTTTCTGATCTTGAATAACGTAATCGTCTTCTGTTGGACATAGACGTTCATTCATATATGCTGTGCTCCAATCAGTTTTACCTGTAATATATGCTGTACGAGTATATTATGTGTACACTTCCTATATATATAATATCCTCTGAAAGGAACAATAAAAAAACTGCTCTCTTTCATCTCTGTATTGCGCAAACAGAATACACATTAATTTATGACTAAAATGCAAAAATCAAACCTGCTTCACAAGATATCCAACTCCACACTAGCAGGAACACCTGTATCTTCACCTAGTGTTAAAACTGTAGTTAGTGATAAAATTCTACATAGTATGGTTGAAGGGATTGTGCTTAAAACATTTTGAATAACATCGTTGAGCAGCTCTTTACAATTCAATTAACTAACTACATACTATACATCTAGTAGATGTAAGATTTACTCTTAAATTATGTCGAAACGCTTCTCTTCAATAGAGTAGTGTATCTTGTCAAAGAATTTTGAACTCAAGCACAGAAACAGACCCTCGAATTGTCCGAACAGAAAATCCAACACACCCCGCTCCCCTCCCCTAAACTATGTGTTTACTAAGAAAAAATCGTTTATTCTTTTTTCTTCGGTTCACAGAGGCATCCTTGGTATACGCAGCTAACGAAAATTGACCGGTACGGGTCAAAAGCTAGACCGGTACGGGTTAACGGTTTTATTTGAATTTGAAATAGCCATAACTTGCTCAATATTGACTTCCTCGTGTCTAATTTGAAATATATGATGCCTCCCGATGCTTTTAAGTACCCCAATTTTTTACAGATTTTTAAACGGACCAAAACTCTCTAAATGCGCATTTATGCTCTTTTCTCTTGAGAACGACTGTCTCATTTTCACGATAACTTTTATTTAGTACTTCTAACATATAAGATCTATTTTTCCCCATCAAGGTATGATGTAAATGACATGCTATTTACATCTTGTGAGTTTCAATGACGCGCGTTTGATTTTATAAAAAATGCCAAATTTTGTGACAAAGAATTTCATCCTGCTTGCAGCGAGAAGACGGACCGGTTCGGGGCAATCTGCTTGCAGCGAGAAGACGGATCGGTTCGGGGCAATAGCTGCGTATACCAAGGGTGAGAGGGTGTTGGATTTTATTTTCGGACAATTCTGTTCGGTTCCTGTGAGATGTGCAATGTATCAGAAAAAAATATTTTCAGGGTTTAATATATGTATGTAAATAATGATCGTTAATAATATATCACTACTTCTGTGTAGTGACATTAAACGACGATTTGGGCAGACTTACATATACCTGTTGTCGTAAAACGTCATTAAGCCAAACCGGTACCATTGTCGCAAAATCTCCCTACATGTATTCCATACCATTAAGAGAGAGAGCCTATCTTGACATACAACGAACAAATTTTGTATGAAATGCATGTATTACTAAAATCAAAATCGATATTTATGAAAAAATATATATTTCAGTTACTGCCGCTTTTATTATCTAAATTCACGAAGCCCATAATTTATAGTATAGTACTGTATACACGATTAATGGCTAAGTGAGCAATATAATGGATATGAATAAAGTCGATGTTCGTTTGTCTTATTTATCTGCAGTAAACGAATATGGAAGTGGACATATATCGGAGACATTAATGTATCAAAAAGTGGTTTAGGTCTAAGAATTTTCGTATGGTGGAGGGAGAGTATATTCTATTCCAAACTCGCAATAAGTTCGTCACTATTAGTTTTTTAGAGTACTTGATAAATATGTTTGTCTTAGTATTATCTTGAAATCAATTATTTCGAATATGATTAAAGCTCAAAATATGTAAAAGTTAACAAAAATGTCTATTAGAAAAAGAGGTCTCAAAATTTTCTCCTGAATTGTTGCGTTGTGGGTAATAACTCATGAGTTCTGATAAAAAATATAATTTGCGAGAGGACTCACACTCTCATTATCCCCTTCCATAAGTATGATAAAATCCATTTTGTATCATACAATCAACATGTACACATTAGTTATGTTTTTTTGTTGTTTTTTAAGATATTTCTTAACTAAATATCATACATGAAGAGTACAAAATATTTTTTTCTTGGAATGTGTACACCAAGAATTTTTTTGAATGATGGGAAGTTGGCTTCAAATTGTATACCATTCTATAGGGCCAATTCTAGAATGCGTTAACTTCTTCATTGTGAGGTTACCATGACAATCTATTGACAATTATGATCCAAATGAACATGCATGAACATGGTAAGAGAAATAATATGTTAAAGAACCAAAATAGAAACCAAAACGCGGTTCTGACCTTTCAAGGTCATCAAAATATAAAAATAAAACTCAGAAGAGGGGATGTCCTGATCTGAACTATGCCAACGTCACCTTCGATGAACAATTCTATGGGCTTGACCAAGGTCTCAGAATGTTCGCCGTTGTTTTCTGAATATTTTGATAGTGTAACTGAAATAGTATTACCGTAGTTTTGAATTGATGATGTTCAACTTTAACAAACAGAGATATCTGCCATTTCTACGATTTCATATTTTACTTTGTGCATGCGCGGTCCTTAACAAACATGTGCTTGTGATTGTTCACGTGATCATATCCTGCAAGTTGATTGGATAGCGTATCGATAGTAATAGCAAGTAATGGCAAATAATTATGGAAGCTAGATATAGTAGTCTTTATCAATAAACTGCCACAAGAAATATCTCCTGAATGACTGCAAAGTTTCACCACTTTTACAGAAATTATTATAAAGTTTAGACGGTCGTGAAGTCCATTATCTGATTATGAATGGTTACTGCCAAAACGCATGTTTGCTATAACACCAACACAACACAGGAGGGATGTCAAGTTGGAGAGTTCACAAGGGCTTATAGCTAGCTCAGCTGGTATCACCAGAAATGACCCATTCAGTGATATAATTTCATTAACACACTTATATTGGCATATTTTTTTCTATATATTAATTTATTTTACCCAATAATCCCCTTAAGGGCAAGTGTACAAAAGAAGAGAAAGAAAAACTTACATAGACATAACTACAAGTAGATAAGTACATAAATACAAATGTATATACAAGGGGCGATCCATATATTCTGATAAAAATGCTCTCATTTTGTGATTTTTTTCACATATCCCTCTCATTTTTTCAGAAAATGTAGATTATGTAATTACACATACAACGCTAAAATATTATAGCTATATCTTAAATTATCAATGAGATAAGGTTGCCATGGTAACCTGTATTAAGGGTAGGCAGGTCAATTAACTTATAACATATAAATATCATAATAACTTGTTATTTTGATTATTTTAAAGTATGCTGAAATCATGCATTTTTTCTAAAAAAGTTTGGTATTGTTACTCGTTGTTTGTTGCTAAACAAATGTTTATATGTGCTCACTATAACATCACAACAAATCACAATAGCATTGTAGGACAGAATGGGCCAATTGACATTACATGTTATGAGACACCAAAAATTGTCAGATGAGGTTAATGTGGCTGAGGCAGAGTATGACATTAACGGATACATTAGGGAATACTAGAAGATTTTATTTTCTTTCAAGAATAAGTAAGAGGACACTGTCAGAGACATACATGGACTCATTAAGTGCATGGACAAGATGTTATATCTGCATAAAGAATCTATAGGTAGTATTGTAAAGAGGAAGGCATGGTCACTGTTAAAGATCATCCACAATCTGGTTGCAAGAAGAGCTTGCGGACAGAGAATAACACTACGATAAATTGAGATGTTACTCATGAAAAGATAGCTATCCAACTGTATAAATTATCAAACAAGGGCAACAGGGGTATGGAACAGATCAATGAATAGTTGGCAATGACTGAAAGATGCGTTTGATCTGCTTAAAATAGGTACCAAGGAATGATTAAATTAACATATTTATCTATTTTAGACGTTATAATTTAACTGACCTGCCTACCCTAAATACAGGTTACCATGGCAACCTTATTTCAAAATTAATTTAAGATATAGCTAAAATATTTTAGCATCGTATGTGTAATTACATAATCTACATGTTCTGAAAAAATGAAAGGGATATGTGAAAAAATCACAAAATGAGAACATTTTTATCAGAATATATGGATCGCCCCTTGTATATACAGTAGAACCTGTGTAAGTTGAACACTGCCACTTAGGAGGTGTTCCACTTACAGAGGTTTCGGGTTCGCGGGGATTTAAAGAATAAATATAGGGTTGATATGTGTCACTGAAAATAAGATTCTCCGATCATTGCAGGGCAGCTATATATCATTTATTATCCATTTGTTTTACTCAAAAAGGTATCTGACATTCTTAATCCTATTCATTCTGCCAAAAATGTTTTCTGACATTGTCAATCCTCCTCTAAGATTTGGCAATTAAGTTTTAAAGACTTTTTTCTACTGCTAATAATTCATTTGTTTTTAACTGACATTCTTAATCGTACTTATTAAGTATGAAACAAACAGCAAGGGGTATTAAATAGTAGCATCACATGGACATCTCTTAATCCAATTTGATGTATGATAATCTTATGAAATCCTAATTGGCTAATTATCAAATTAATTAGTGGTAGCATCAAATGTTGATCTCTACAGGAGGTTAATCCAATTGGCTTTATGGTAATCCATTAAATCCTAATTTGCCAATTATCACATTATTACCTGTTTTCATACCAAGGTATCACTGTAGGAGGTTAATTTTGTTTACATAAGTATCAATATTGAAATTTATGGAAAATTGACTGTTCCACTTAGCAGGTTAATTTTTCAAAATGGGGTGTTCACTATTCAAGTTTGGAGGTGTTCCACTTACAGAGGTTCAATTAACATTTAGTCAATGGGTTTTCTACCTACTGAGCAAAGTACTCCTTATAGAGAATAATTCATTTACCATGTTTGAAAAGATGCTACAATATTGCTCCTCAGCGTTAAATAAAAAAAGCTAGTAAATCCATATCTGATAGCGAGCCGATATTAGGGCATTTGGTATAGAGCAAGTCTAGATATTTATTTGTGATATATTTGAGCTCATTGCACTTGAGCAAGAAATGTTCTTCGGTCTCCTGTGCCTTTTTACATAGTTTACAAATTCTGAGTCCGGGTGGAAGATGTGGTCTTATATATCTACCCTCCTCGACTTCAAGTTTGTGACTGCTAATTCTAAGCGATGTTAAATTGCGGCGGGCATCTTTATTCTTAATATGGTCAAGATAATTTTCATAATGAAATGAAAATTTGATTTGTTTATAAAACCTTAATTTGCCATTGATATCTTTTAGCATGTTTTCAAAGTATTGTTCGTATCTTTCTTTAAGCCTAGATTTTAATTTCTTAGTGTTGACATTATGATAATCATTAAAACCTATAAATTTGAGTACTTTTAGCAAGTCATTATACCAAGAAGGCCGGTTACTATCGGCAATTTATTAATAAAATAGATTTATATACGATGTGGCCGAGGACACAGGATTTATTGGTTTGTCAGAAAAACTACTTGCGATTTGTTAGACAGGTTGGCGTGGCTAAGTTTAGATGACTGCAACCAAGATTAAACTCATAAATCAAGATATAATCGACGGCGCTCTTGAAATTAAAGAGATAAGTCTTTATGTTGTTTTATGATATATCAATTAAAAATCATATAACAGTATATTAAATACAACTTTATATACCCAACGAAGAATATAAAGCAAGCTAACTCAGAAGCGGGTCTATCTGATAAATCTGAATGATGGATGAGGAACGAGAGTTTCAAAGATTGTCAGTGCGGATGCCGCCCCGGTTTCTGTACAGGGCAGACGGGCATGCCAAAATGCAAGAAGAGCAAATAAGCCAATTTGACAACCTAAATTCCCAGAAGGTAAGAAAATGGCGGATTCCACAAATTTTGCAACAGTTGCTTATTTTTTCAAAATCATTCCTATCTCCACACTATGAAAGAGGAATACAAACTGACACAAGATATCTTTGTTGAAATAATTTAGATGTCAGACATTAATAAATTAACATTCCGAGATGGCAATTTTAGACATTAGCCAAAATAAACATTTGTTCATGACATATTTTTTCTGATGGGCACGAAGCTTAGGAAACAAATTATTCATTATTCAAAAATAAATGTACGTAACAAAAAGCCAGATATTGTTAATGGAGGTCCTGGTGTGTCTATAGTGTAGTTCTAATGACCCATTTTTGAATGAATACTTAAATCTCGGTCAGATTTACATTTGCTCTACGGTGACCGTACCTCGACCGTAGATCCCCGGAGGCCGTTTCTCGAAACTTATCGTTATTAACGAATCGTTAATGGCGAATCATATTCGTTTCTATGGACATCGCATCGCTAATGGAATAACGAGACCCCCATTCGTACTTGTAAAATCAACCATGGATAACAAATATATTGTTAAAAATCATGACGTCATCGCTAAACGTTAACTTTCGAGAAACGGAAAAATCCTTATTTTTTTAACAATTGAATTAACGAAGAAACGGCCTCCTGGTCCGGTAAATTCATATGGCAACTGTAGAAAATCTACGATCGCCTTACGGCGGATCCAGTTTCTTACAAAGCGCAGACCAGCCGTAGAAATAATAACTCGGAGAGATATTTTTCATTTCTACGGTCACTGTAGAAGTTACAAGTCGTAGCCAAACAGTTGAATTGTCCCAGGATGGCCGAACGTTGTGCGTACGATCAAATTGCGGCTGCCCTGGGATTTAATGGGTTACAATTGACCTTTGCAATTGATTTAGAATCGCCGCTCGAGGGGTTACCCTTGGCCTTTGTATTTGTCAAAAAAAACTACGCCCGTCGCAGGGGCGCCCTTCGGTGACCACGCGTCATCATTTAAAAGGCCGTACAGCATCCGAAATTCTTGTGTCTCCTCATAATCAAAATACGCCGTACGGTCGCCGTAGCAAATGTTGCTGAGGTTTAAATGCACATTCCCTTTGCATGATTCGAAATACCTTAATAAATATACGATCGTGATGACAAGTCAAAAATATGTGTTTTTGTTATTTAAGCAAATTCCAACGAAGCAGATCAGTATTTGCACAGCGAAGAATCTATTGATAACAATCATATTGATATTGATAGTTTTCTCCATGCTTGTCGGTGCTTTTTTAATCGGAGACCATGTCGGGAGAAGTAGCGCCAAAGACCTTTTACGTAGTCCGGGTAAGATATACAAAATAATCTACTTGCTATAATTAGGCCAATATAACTTGAGATGAACAAAAATAGCAAATAAATAATGATTTGATTAACAGCACGTGTATTGGTTGGCTTTCCATTTTATGTAGTTTGAGTTTAAAGGATAATCGATGGTTAAATTAATGCAGTTCAATTCGATGATCTTTTCTTCCGTGAAGTTTCACTGACAGGCAAAAAACTCTGCCCATTCATAAAATCAAATGCATTTACATACAGAGTGATCCAAAAATCGCTGTACACAAGGCCACCAATATCTTTGCCAATTTTTGGCCTTGCACCATAACATTAATACACTAAAGATGCATTCGATGTAACATCATTGTACAAAATATCGATGGGATACCTTTACAACTCTCTGAGCAATTCTATTTATGATACATGCTTTATGTGCTTGATATTGCGTTCTTAGCATGCGTGAATTCTGCGACATGAACACGCTCTTTAACACTGATTGCCCGCATATTTTGATACTGCGCATCTGTCGGCTACGTTTGCTAAACTGTTTTTGTACACGGTTTTATCATATGTAGTTCAAAAGCCAAATATTATGAAAGTGATAAATGCTTGTTTGGGAAACGTTTTTGGGTCACCCTGTACGTGTTTATTAATTTTATCAGAAAGCACCAGTCCAAAAAATCTTGGGTCAACGGTACCAACCGACCCGAAAACATTCTCAGTCTCAGATTCAACTAAAATATACTCGTCGACGCCAGTCTCAGATACGACTAGAATATCCACGACAACGTCAGAATCAGATTCGACTGTAATACCCCCGACAACGCCAGTCTCAGATTCGACAGAAATATCCACGACAATGCCAGTCTCAGATTCGACTGAAATATCCTCGACAATGCCTGAATCAGATTCGACTGAAGTATTCTCGACAACGCCAGTTTCAGATTTGACTGAAATATCCTCAACACTACCAGTTTCAGATACGACTGAAATATCCTCGACAATGCCAGACTCAGATTCGACTGAAATATCCTCGACGACGCAAGTCTCAGATTCGACTGAAATATCCTCGACAATGCCAACAACCTCACCGGATGGTAATGGTAAGTGACAATTTATGCTAATCAATTTAGATTAAGTCTTTGTTTATTTCTATATTTTAAACCACGAGGTGTTAACAGGTCAACCAATGTATTTTGCCAGGAGCAAAGTCCTATGCGGCTACCCGTATGCTCCCAAGGTCTAGTTGCAATGTCTCGGAGAAAGCTAGCTTAAAGGCGTCTCTCAGGGAAGTTATCAGATATCATCAATAGAAGCACTTTTTCTCCGAGTCGTCCCTCACGCTTGGAGTTATAAAAATCACAAGTGGTGCACTTTTCCTCCGAGTCGTCCCTCACTTTTGGAGCAGCTGTTTTGGAGTTATCAACTTACAAGAGGTGCACTTTTCCTCCGAGTCGTCCCTCACTCTTGGAGTTATAAACTCATAAGTGATGCACTTTTGCTCCGAGTCGTTCCTCACTCTTGGAGTTATCAACTCACAAGTGGTGCACTTTTCCTCCGAGTCGTCCCTCACTCTTGGAGTAATCAACTCACAAGTGGTGCACTTTTCCTCCAAGTCGTCCCTTACTCTTGGAGTTATCAACTCACAAGTGGTGCACTTTTCCTACGAGTCGTCCCTCACTCTTGGAGTAATCAACTCACAAGTGGTGCACTTTTCCTCCGAGTCGTCCCTCACTCTTGGAGTTATAAACTCACAAGTGGTGCACTTTTCCTCCGAGTCGTCCCTCACTTTTGGAGTTATCAACTCACAAGGGGAGAACTATTCTCTTGGGAAGTAATCAACTCGCATCAATTGGAGCACTTTTGCTCTTAGCCGTAGTTGTCTCTCTCTTGCTCCAAATCGTCACTATGTCGAAATGACCCGTGAATGCCAGTCAAAAGAGATTAGACACAAGCCACACGCCTCTCAGACGTCACCCAAGCTGGCGAATTCAGAATGATTGGAAGAAGAGGGAAAAGAAATGAAGTCACACAAGGAATCACAAAGACAGTATCATCAAATTTGCCAGGGAAAGAAGCAATACAAAATCGATAAATCGCACACACTGCAACCAATATAACCCTCATATCAGTTATATTCTCCAATGCAGAAACTGTACATTTAGATGAATCGCTAATTATAGACCAAATACATTATACTCCACTAGAAAACACTGATTGCCCTTGTCCCAAAAAAATAGTTTAAGCTGGAGCTTAAGAAACTTCAATAAACTTCTTTGGGTAAACTTTGGAATCCTCCAGCAATGTCTTGCATTTCAATGTATCCCACTGGTACTATAAAATGCTTTCTTCCCTCAATCCTCAGTACCAGCTCCAATCACGCTACACGGTCTCCACCACTCTTCAGCTTCACAAGCAAGACTGTACACAATCGCCACGGTATCATCTGAGTTGCTCACCAAGATGCTTTTCATCTAGATCTTTCCCTGCCGTCTAAAAACAACTCAGTTTAAAAAGCTGTGTGTAGTTCACCAGTGTAGCTCAGTGGTGGCACAATATTAATTGCTCAATAGGTCCCGGATTCGATCCCCAGTTCAGGCAAGAGTTAAATTGCTTTTTGACGAAAGTTCTTCAAGGTGTTTGATTTAGTGGTCCACAACTCGTACAAAAGGCCCCGGTGTGTACTTGCTTGATTATGTATGAGTGCATATAAAAGAACACAGGACTCCTTCAAGGAGGGGTTCTATAGGGACTCTATATATATATATATTGTATATAGGTGGTTTACCATAGAGGTATTGTTCACCTACATAGGTGTATGTAATGGTTAACAAAAATACAATGGAATACAACTCAGAGCAGAGTTACTCCTAACAGATACATAATTGTTCAACTTAACGCTACATAATAATCAACAAGGTCGACTGATTCCACAAACAAAACAAAAAAGTCAAAACTGAGAGCAGAAAACTCACAATGTCGTCACAATATTGTACAGATGTACCACTGCTCTAATACATGTAGATTAAAGTATATAAATTCTATCAAACGCGCCTTAAGGTAAAACTGTGATATTCCCATTCAATTTTCAAAATGAATGTAATCAATAAAGGTCGTCAATCGTTCTTTTAAATTCAAAATATTGTCTGATCCTTGGTGGAGGTCCTTGGTGGAAGATCAACGGCTTATTGGTTTCAATAATCTGCTTCAAGAAATACCAACTATTGACGGTGGGTGGTCATATTGGAAACCATGGAGTGATTGTTCAACCACATGTGGTGGGGGTGTAAGGTCAAGAGTTAGAACATGCACGGGACCGGAACCTTCTGGAGAAGGCCTTATCTGTTCAGGCTCAAGTCGACAAACCGAAGCATGTTCCAACTGGGAATGTCCTGGTAAATATAATTTAAGGCACACATTCCGATTACATCATTAAAGTTCAATTCAAATTTCATTCGACTCACGTCGGATAATTATATCAGTTAATGGTGTGATGCTCTCCATTTAAAACGTGAAATAATTTTTCAAAATAGTCAAGAAAATCACATCCCTGTAATATTGTGTAAAACTAAATTAGGAGACGTCTGAAAACTAAAAATATAGCAACATGTTATCTGTATTTTGATTTTGAATACAGATTGTAACAGACCATGCCCCGATGGGGGTATTCTTGTCAACTGCAGTACGTGCACCTGTACAAACTCTGTTCTTTATGGTCGGGTGACAACTAAAAGAAACTTACCGTTGGAGAATGTAGGAGTGTTCCTACGATACAAACAATGGGAGGCTCTCACACTGACAGATATGCTAGGACGATTCCATATTAAGGGTATCTGTGTGCCAAGCGAGCAAATAATATTCAAGAAAAATCTACATAGTGAAGCAAGGATAACTGCACAGCCAGAAAATGCAACACATGCAACAGCTAGTGCACAGCTTCAACGACTAGGTATGGAATCATGCTTCATGAACTTTGAAAACTAGCATGGGAAATTGTGTCATATTATATAGCTTAATAATAATGACTACATACAATTCTATGAAAACTGCGAGTACTGTATTTAAATTTCATGTTCAAGTCATAGAAATTCTTTATTCTTGCATTTAAAATTCAGGCGTTCACATTATGAAACTACATCGTTCAGAAGTAAGTTTTTATTATTTATATGTAGTAGCTATTCTAAAGACAATTACATGTAACTTCGAGTGTCGAATTTTTTAATAAATAACACACCCACTATTTTTCTCATGAAGGTACCTGAACTAAATCTTTCCTGTTGAGTAATTACAGGGTGTTCAAAAAACGCAACCCAAAGAAATCGCTATATTTTTGGAAAATACTGATTCAATTATATTCATTTTTCAGGAAAAAAGGAAGAGACTGTGTATGTATAGCTTGTGTAGATGGTTAGTTGTAAAACATGATACCTTGTACACAAAAGACAGTTGAACTTGGAAAATACGTAAAACTCAGTCAGAGGTGACTGACACAACAATAAAACCAAATAACTTAATAACCATAGTGTTTGGCACTTCAGATTTGGCACAAATCGCCTTCATTCAATGTATGGTAAATCTGACACTCAAGGGACTTTACAGTTATGGTTGAAATGCTTTCAAAACGCAGCCAAACGCCCTGGTTCAGGCAGACTTAAGAAGGCATTTTGACCAGGTGATTTTTATTAAACTCCACAAATTCACCACACATTGAATGAGGATAATTTGTGCCAAATCTGAAATCATATTGACGTATGTTTCTAATACTAATGTCTTTTGAGCAGGTGTCCAAGTCATCATGTTTTACAACTAACAACAGGGGCTATACATACACAGTCTATTCTTTCCTTCCTGAAAAAATGAACACAATTGAGTTAGTATTTTCTAAGATATAGCGATTTCTTTTTTGAACACCCTGTAGAAAAACATAAAGCATAGTCAGAAAACTTTATTCCCTCGATCCGCTTTATTATAATATTCGTTTCAGAAATGCCTTTTATCAAATATCAGCCTTCCAATCGACATAGATTCCTGGGCCAGGATGTTTCATTCTGCTGTGAGACAGAGGGGACACCAAATGTACATACTCTTGAATGGTAAGTTCATCGTTGTATGACCCATTATGGCTGTCAGAAATTGCCTTGAGTTACATGCTATATAATGTTAGGATAAATAATTATACTCCTTTTGATAGGTATAAAAACAATCGCATCATCAAAAGAACAGAGGGTAGCTATTTTCCTGTATTAACACTGGATAATCTCTCTGTAAACGATAGTGGTCTATACGCCTGTAGGGCAGTCTCTGCTGGTGGGAATGTCATGTCTAGGCCTGCTCAACTAAATGTTCATGAAGGTAGCTAACAATATATTTTAAAAGTACCGGAGGCGTTGTCCATAATTTTAAGTTGAAATCGTCATAAGGTGAATATACATGTTCATTTCTTGTCTTCGTGTACAGTATAATATACTATCCTTCATCGTGGTATATACAGGGCGGTTCAAAAAATCATTCACACTTTTGATTGCGTAGCATTTTCAAATTTTTTCATAGGCCTAGTCCTACAGACATGTAAGTTATGTGTTGAGTAAGTTTTATTATCATATACCACCATATTGGAGCACAGATCAAAAGTTTGTAATGTGCTCGATCCGAGCTCCTTGCACACATTGTAATGTCCATATCCATATTATCATAAGGAATCCTCCTGATCTCTGTTTTAATATTCTTTAGCTCATCAATAATTTGGGGACATTACCAGCCTCAAACCACTACAGCCCATCATCACCGTTATGACCTTTCACCAGTCTACTTCTCTACATCACATGTTGATGTTGATGCTCAGAAGGCTAAACCTAAGCCAGAAAGTGCAGTTCGATTTGGTGAAGGTTATTACAAGCTTAAACTTTCAGCACCAAAGAGCTTGTATTGGACACATCACAAAATAAATTGGGAAATCTTCCTGTTGTTAGAATGCTACGTTGTCAAAAGTGTGAATGATTTTTTGAACCACCTTGTATATGTTCTGGGAAATTTCAAATATAGGGTTTATTCTGAAGGATATAGGAATATTGAGTATTGAACCTCATAGGATAATATTTATATCTCCCCAAGGTATAGTTGTTGTTTTTTTTAGTTTTTATGGTTCATTTATTGTATTATTATCTCCCCAAGGTATCGCAAGGTAAAGAGAATATATATTCTGATGGAAACACCCTATATCCAAAACCGACATAACTGATGTTTCTCATTCTTTTGTGGGTTTAGGGTAGTGTTATCTTACCCGAATAACCTAGTATCAATGCATGAGATACAGTCTATATATGGTATGTTTTGACAAACAAAATGCTAGAATAATATGCAGATCATCGAAGTTCAGTTTATATATAAATATTTTCAGAATCATCGCAGGACTCTTGCAAGTCTGAACCCGCTGTAAGATATACAACTCTCCCAACTGGATGCACGTACTCCGGGCCTGATACCGCTAGCGAAATTACAACTGTGAATCTGGGTGAATGTGAATTAAATACGCCATGTCTGACGCAAAATGATCAGATAAGTAGAGAAAGTTGTAATGATACATCAACTCTTTGTTGTGGAGCGATTCGCACTAGGCTCTTAGATATAACATGTGACACTGGGAATACATTCACAATGGTTCAGATCGAAGAATGTGGTTGCATAGAATGTTTGAGAAACCCCGATGCAGAAGGATCAACCAAAATAGATGGGAGAGCGTTTGGAACTGATGTCAATGGAGATATGTCTCCTCTTATACTTGGTGCTATATTATACAAAGGTGAACAGATTGGGTCGACGTCAGCCACGGGAATATTCACTGTTACCGTTCCTGTAGGAATCGATAGATTTACCCTCATCTTCCAAGATACGCATTTCAAAACATTTGCTGATGCAGTTGTTGTTATGGACTATGTTCGAGGACAAACAGCTACTCAAAATGTGAGAATGAAACGTTTACCCAAACCAGTAACGTTCAATGCTGAAGATGGATTTGAATTGGAGTTGGGTAGTTCTGATATCACTGATAAGGCTGGTTTTTTAAAACTACCTCAAAGAGCAGTTGTTGATGAAAATGGTAATCCGTTCTATGGTTCTGTAAATGCAACTGTTGAATTTATGGATCCAAGACAGATAGATGACATGAGATCATCTCCAGTAGATTTTAGTGCATCAGACGAAAATGGAGAAGAAACTATTCTGGAAACATTTGGTATGGTACGCGTCTCCTTGTCAGATGGTGAAAGCGGGAAACCACTTCAAAGTGCAGGGAATATGCAAATAGGTATTGATGTGACTACCATGGGGATTCAAAATCAAACAGATGGTATATTTTTATGGGGATTGGATGATGTATCTGGACAATGGGTCAAAACGGGTGACATGGTTTACAAAACTGCAATACAACTCGGTTTGTTTAAAAATAGAAAAATGAATCGTGACTTTGTGGTTGGTGACTTTAACTCTGGGACTGTCCGAGACCTCGAGACAACAAGAACACGGAGAGAGACTTATTGGGTAAATGTAGATCGACCCGGTGGTCCAACTCGTATAGAACGAATAATTAGAGAAACTCTCACTGATTTGTGCTATGTTAACATCCGTATATACAACGATGCTAATTTCAACCCTGGTTCCGGTCTCGGTGGTGCCTCTGTAAATGTCCTTACAAGACAACCCGATGGGGTATCCTACAGTGGCTACAAGTCTGCAACTTCCCCGAATTCTGGGTCAACGTGTCTACAAACATTGTGCTCTAGACAAGCTGACATAATAGTTGAACGTGGACGTGATAATCTCTTTGTGCATCCAGACCAAGGCAATTTCCTTCCCCCTATGTATCGTTTCAGAGATTCACAAAATAGGCGTGTCGTTAACTTTGATGTTGTAAAGATGGATAGCCAACTTGGTAGAAATGGGCCAGTGTATATATGGCAGAAGCAAAGAACGTGCCTGAATTCAAAAGAAAATGATTTTAATTTTAGGTATTTCTACCTCTCTTTTAGTTTTAAGGAAATAATCATAGTACCATACTAAATTAATTTCTCAATAGAGAGGCGTATAATATGACAGCAATGTTAGGCCAATCATTGCATTTTCTGCTACACTCGGCTCTTATTGTTATTGGTCACAGAAAACTCGAAATCGAAATCTTGACCGCCAGCGCTGTGAAATATTTGTTCAACACTCATGGTGTACAAATTAGTCAATTTATGATTACTTAAAATAAATGGAAATAATTTTCATTTAGGTTTGCTCCAATATCTCCACCGAGTGTGCTAAATCCTAGAGTAAAAGAAAATGGAAGGCGGCTGTCTTGGTATCAACGGGAGGGTGACCAAAATCGAGTCTGCTACATCAAGATTCGAGTTCAGGTCAATATACGAGGCCCGATCAGAAAGTAAGTAACCAACTGCTCTTATTTCTTCATACTTTATTCAATCACATTGAAATTTTCACAGATGATATAGAAAATATTAACCTATTAAAGAAGACCAAGGACAATGGGTTAGCGTCAATTCCATTGTTATTGCTGTTGCTATGGTGACAATCGTTTTGGGTAGGCGGGGCACCCTGTTTTAAGTGGCGTTTGAAAATAATTTGTAGAGTTTTTCTACATGTTCTAATACCTCCAAATAAATCAAATTCAAATATATGTAAGACTACATTTAAACACATTTTCAAATTAATCGCCAAACAGGATCTTAAGAGGTTCTGGACAAATCATTTGATTCTGGACTTGTCATATTTTTTTTTCAACGAAATCACATCCAAGGGTTGAATTTTCATTAGCTATTTAGAGAGTGAGTCCTGCCTAGTATTAATTTCAATAAAAAAAGTTAAAATAGAACCCTATTTGAGAGTCAATCTAATACTTACATTACATTGTTAAATTAAGGCAAATCCTGAAATATTTTTAAAGTGCGTTTTTTAATGAAATATTATCCAGCAAGTATTTAAATGAAACGGTCTTATTTAAATACAAATCATAACATGATATTTTTCATGAAACATTTTTCAATGAAATTCAATTGAAGGGTCAAGATAAAACGAGCTAATTTAGGTGAAAACCCTTACATGATGATGTGTTTTCATAACTTCTTTCATAAAATTCCATCAAGGGGTGAAGATAAAATGATCGAATTTAAGTGATTTAAGGATCACGAGAATATGTTTTCTTTGATATTTTCTATGAAATCCCATCCAATGGTCAAGGTAAAATTTTGATTTTGATTTTGATTTGGTCACGTGTTCGAAAGATCCATATAAGGCCCATAGAACCATATAGGAACGTCATTTTGAATGTCACGTGATAGATCCATATAAGGCTTTTGGAACCATTCATGGAAAGATGAGGGAAGCCCCTGACACCTGTTTCACGATTTTTATGCACTTCATTATTGTACCGAAGTTTGCCGATTCGATTCGTCGTATTTCGGAATCCTGGTGACAATTTTATACTCCATTGGAGTATTTTTGACCTACTTCTTATGACGGAAATTCCCGAACCTTGTTCGGATTAATCCGGATTTTCTGACCTACTTTATCTACCGAGATTTCACGAGTTAACATTCGTCTCATTCCGGAATCCTGGTGACAATTTTATACTCCATTGGAGTATTTTTGATCTACTTTTTCTGGATTTTGCCCTACTTATTATATCTTGACAAGCAAATCAAAAAGTTCGACATGAACGGGTCTCGATCAACTAACCTAGACTATGGAAGCCAGGCACGCTAACCATGAGGCCAACGAGCTACCGATATGAAAGAACAAAAGTATTATATATTTATACCGAGCGTCAATTCAAAATGATCCTCACTTTTGTCTCCACTTAAATACGACTCGTCAGTTGTATCCAGAATAGTAGAATGCCTATGGCGCTAGTGAATAACCAAGTCCCAGGTGAGTGGTTCGTATCCCTCCGTGATATACTATTTTTGTTTTATTAAATACGACAGAAAGGAGCAAGGTGTAGGTTGAAAACAAGACGTTAGTTTGTTTCAAAACAGTTTGGAAACATTAATCTCTGGAACATTATTTTTTCAACACTGATACAAATTTCCCTGACATTTCCCTGACATGTCTACCGTTTCAAAATTCATCTTTGGCCCTTTTGACCTAATTTTAAAATTACCTGACATTTCCAGCACTTGGAAAATCAAGTCAATTTCCCTGACATTTCCAGGTGTGTATGAACCCTGGAAATATCCCACTGGTTCGCCCTATGAATCGCTAGCACAGATTGGATTGATTAGTGTTTCAAAATGGTGGACGAAATGTTTGATTAGATAATTTACATATTAAGCTTCTTAAAGGGGCAACAAGGCCTGTACATAGAAAATTCGAAATTTTTTACATTTTCTGAATTTTTAGGGCAACATTTGGCTTTAACATCTTTTTTTATACATTTTTTCTTAAAATGTATGGATAAACAATAAAATTTCAGCATTAAGCAGTGCAAATTCAGTTCAAAGCTTCTATAAAGGGAGTCCAACTTATAGATTTTGAAAATCCGACTCGTTTAAAGAAGAATATCAGCAGCTTAAATCACGCCTTGTGATCATACAAAATGGATGGAGGGGGGGGTAGGCGATTTCTGCAAGAAAACTCAACAAATTTGGAAGATTTATTTTTTTCAAGATAAAATTTACAACTGAATTGCCAAATAAATAGGCGCAGTGCATGGCAAAATATGTAAGGTCTTCTAGTATTCTTTGAACTGATACGCTTCTAAGATATGAGATCTATTATAAAAGGCGCATCATCATCATCATCATCATCATCATCAACGTGCAAAAGTCAATGTTTTTGCTATAAATCAGGCAACAATGGTCTACACGACCTGTAATAAATAGGTATGAGGGGCGTTATTAGAGAATTTTCGTTATAAGTTTTTTAAAAACTTATACGTATACTTATACTTATAAACCCAATAAACAAGGTGTTTCATAATTTCCCAATTCGTCGGGAAATATCTCCTAGGACGGTAATAAAAAGGGCCAATGGCATACCATCCGTACCCCCTTGATGTAAAGCATGTTTAGTTGTGTCATATGTGTTTTCTAGAATCAAATAGGCTGATATAGCACACGGGTTTTACAGATTTATCTACTCTCAAATATATTTTTGTAGATGATCGTTTTGAATCACCTTGTAGAAATAACGAAGGGAGAATTAGTTCAGCTAATGAATGAGTCGAGCTATTTGATTGGATACTATGCCTATTCAGCCGATTAATTTTAATAAGCCATTCTGGTCAGTAGGTCCACACATATACTATGCGGAGATCCAACTCTGTAAGTTTATAATCTGCGTATAAAGGCCCTTTTATACGTAAAAACTTAAAAATTGACCTTATAATTTCATGAGAACTTTGAAATGATCGACTCGTTCGTGTAGTGATTCACTTTAAAGGGTCTTGTTTATCGTACACTACAAGGACCCGTCAACTAGAATTTAGTTTATCGTGTTCATAATTGACACTAGCAAAGGACATTGTATTCGCAGTCCCTAGTTGATGATGAAGCTTGACTATATCGGGAATAGTTATGCCCCACTTGGTACAGATTAATGATGAAAATCAATTTGAATTGATTTTAGTTCGACAAGACCCTTTAAACTATAAGTATACGTATAAGTTTTTGAAACAACTTATAACGAAAATTCTCTATTATCACAACACTGACATTGCTCACTTTTTAAAGTTGTTTCAAAGCGTTATATGTAAATGGGCGTGTGGAAGGCCCGTGGGTGGCAATAAAATAACTCGAACTTCAAATTAAAATATATATAAAATAGTATATTTCAAACTTCAATGATTAAAATACAATGCTCTGTAATGTACAACATGAACTCTTACAGCAACTACTGACAAGCCAACACCCAATGCAAACTCAGCTACATGTGAGTGAGAAAGACCATATTGGGGAACAATAGATATATAAAAGTGACACAGTTTGCATAGTTGAATAACTCAAGGTGAAAAGTGAACATGGTATTAAAAGAGTAAAACTGCAAACAACCTACTTAGGGACCTGTTATATTGAGATGAATAGGGATTGATTAATATGAACAGTAATAATATAAAATGTGAAAATGACCATGTTACATATACAAAAAATAACCCCATTGTTACAAAATCACAAAAAGTGAAATATCTATTCTTGTATTGCATTTTCGTTCACTGGACATATTTTAATTGCATTGCTATTAGATACATTTTAAGGGTGATATGAAAATTGAACCACGAAAACAGATGTACTTTAAGTTAAAGGGAACTTTCTACCATACCCGCCATGCTATCTGACCCGAACGAGCCACCTTGTGGTGAGATTGGTAACTACCTGCTCGCATCTGCGTTATTACGCAGAGACATAAACGTATACACAAGGAAACGATAGGAGATAACCTATTTTATCTCTGTATACATTTTAACTTTAATACATCGTTGAATCGAATTTGTCCAAAGGTCTTGAAACGTAAAATACCTAAATATTTATCTTAGACCTTGGGATGACCTTGTACAAGAAACATTAATGTTGACCTCGGTTCATCTAATCATGATTCGCCAAGGGCCATAGTATCATCAAACGCCAAATACCTAGACATTGATCGTTTACTTGGATTTAAATAAGGAGTATGATTTTAAAATTGGCTAGGTCGTGGTTAAGCAACAATAGTATGTTCGAAATACCGCTGTGTAATGCCTGGATCACATTTGCTGCGAGTATTTTGTTCAAAATTGAATACATTTCTGAACACAATACTCAATCGGCCGGGCGCCGTAGTGAAAATCGGAGCAAATGTGACCAAGACATAAAACAATTGAATAATACTGTATCAGTTTCACATTTACAGCGGTCAAAAGCATTTACAAAAAAAACCGCCAGAGTTGGCAATCATATAAAATGAAACCAATCCCGCTGTGATTCATAGAAATAACTAATTTACTGCATTGAGTTCAATGTTATAACCATGTCGATTTACATGAGTGTCCGATTCATTGTACCAAATTTAAACCTTGACTGTTTTCCAGAAAGCAATAAGCTGACATATATCATATTTTACATTTTAATACAACTGAAAAGATAATAAATGTTTTAATATAAAGTTGACGTAGTTATAAATGTTTTCAGCGTAAAATCAAAGCACAACTATATAATTAAAAACATAACGCTCGGATTCCAACTGGATACAACTGACGAGTTGTATTTAGGTGGCCTAAAGTGCTGCTTATTTTTTCGTGAAGCCACTCAGTAAAATTACGATTTCTCTCAACCCTGATGTTCAATCAACGTCATTCGAGTATCTATATGTTCCTGACACGTTCGGGCATCCGGTTATGACAACGTCTACCCAATGTTTGCACGAG